ACAAAAGCACATTATGATTGTTTATGTATCTTGAAGCTTGCAGGGTTGGGTTCTTGTCTAAATCGTTAACCACTAGGCCACACTTCCTCCTAAAATTCTGCACACATTGCATACTATGCTAAGGAAATGTAAGCTACACTAGCTGTGGTTTACATTAATAATTTACACTAATCACATGATCAGTAGAACATGATTTCATACAACATTCCAGTTTGTTTCTGTCTTCCCATCAGATGATGTACTGATATAGAGATGTGGGCAGCAGTTGATCAATTCTGACAGTCAATCAGTTCTGTGTAGCATCTATAATTTGTGGATGAAACGCCTCCAGGGAACCATGCTGAGCCTTCCCATGAGGGAAACTCCTCCCAGAACCCCTGCCAATTTGGCTACCTGGCAGCAGGATGCTGCCCTCTACTGTGCAGAACAGAAACCAGAGAGAATAAGAGATGCTCATAGACTTTAATGAGCTCCCATCAGACCTTGCTTTCATTACAGAGGCAAAAACACCTCAAACAGCTTCACTTGTAATTATGCATCCTCCTCTTAACATCATCAAAGGCTTAATCACCTGGAAAGGCGTTCGTGTGTCAGGAAAGAGCAGGTTGTTTTACTAATTAAGATGAGCAATGCAGTCGTGCCTGCTAGCCTCTCCTTTTTTTCTGTTGTTGGAAGAAGAGTTGAGCATTTCCCCTCCATCAGATAGATGAAAACTAAGATGCATGAGTGTGAGAAATGCATCCCTGTTGTGATTATGTAAAGAAACTGGGGGGAGTTTGAAGACTGTGGGGCTGTAATGGACACTATGTGCAATGACACAACTGAGCCATCCCCATCCCTCTACATTATGTGCAGTTTCAGCCTTCTGTTAGTGCCTGCAGAGGACAAACACCACAGCTCGGGTTTCAGGCTTCATCACTTCTTGCCTATTACGCTCCCAACCTTTATCTATGATGCCTTTTCCACTGCTGTATGACTGAACTCCTTTCTCTATGTAACGGCTGAACGTTTCTATTATAATCGTATTAAATATACTTTTATTCTTATTGTAAACTGTTGTTTTGTGCAGTAGAAGTATTGTCATTGGACAACCTGCCAGTATTACGAAATATAATCATTATTGTCTTTTGGGGGGGGGGGTAACACTTTATTTCAGTGTCCTTGTTACTCATAACACATACTCGCTACAGTAATAATGGAAATTATGCATAATGTGCAACTTACCCTATAGTAAGTATGTTGTTAAAGGGATAGTTCACCCAAAAAATGGAAATTCTGTGATTAATTACTCACCCTCATGCCGTTCCAAACCCGTAAAAACCTTTGTTCATCTTCAGAACACAAATTAAGATATTTTTGATGAAATCCAAGAACTTTCTGACCCTGCATAGACAGCAATGCAACTGACACATTCAAGGCCCAGAAACGCAGTAAGGACATCATTAAAATAGCCCATGTGACATCAGTGGCTCAACCTTAATTTTATGAAGCTACGAGAATAATTTTTGTGCGCAAAGAAAACAAAAATAAAGACTTCATAACTTCATAAAATTATAACTTCGTCACATGGACTATTTTAACGATGCCCACCTTTCTGGGCCTTAAACGTGTCAATTCCGTTGCTGTCTATGCAGGGTCAGAAAGCCCTGCATAGACAAGGACAAATTAAAATAAAGTGTCTCTTTAGTTTTCATTGAAAATATAATTTTATGTAAAATTATAAATTTCTTTTACTGTCATTGTTGATAAAAAAATAATGCATTCTTTGCTGAATAAAAGTATTAAAGGTGCAGTAGGAGATCTTGGAAAATGCTAACTTTAGCCTGATAGCACTGAAAGCGAACGTCCCACCCTCCCTGCAAATCGCTGTCCAAAGCCACACCTCCTTAGTGCATGAACGTGAACAGATCAGACGACCATACACAACATTACTAAAATACATCATGTGTCATTTACCGCTGAGAAAACTTTATAGTACAGTTAGTAAAAGTACTACAATACCAGGAAGGAAGATCAGGTTGTTGATGTTTGCCTGCCATTCAATCTGTCTGCATAGTAGTGTACGTGAACACGCTAATGACGTATCCTGTCTGAGCGAACTGGGTGCGCAGAGGTATGCAAACACACATGTTGACAGGCAGTTAGGAAAGTCAATCAAAACGCTCGGAACATTTCTTGGTCGCCTTCCACAGAATATATAAATACAGATAAATGCATTTAGACCACTTAACTTAATGATTGCTATCGGGATGTGAAGAGACTTTCAACCAGCATAACAAAAAATGTTTCTGAAGACAATCACCTATTGCACCTTTAATTTATTTCAGTAAACATCTTAATGACCTCAGACTTTTGAACGGTAGTGTAGCCTAAATAACTAAATATATGGGCAGAGCTGTGGTATAACCCTCAGAAATAAAAACCAAGCAAGCAACCGACAAAATGTAGTGTTATTGCTGGTGAAGAAATGTGTTAGGGGAGCATTCTAGTTTTGATGCTTTGTGTCAATCACAGTGTAGACAGCTATGTTGATTTGGGATAGTGTTCTAGTTAGATGGGATGTCAGACTGAGTAGATGAGATGTCAGGCTGAGTGTGGTTAGGGTCCTCTGCGGTGGAGGACATTTTAAAGCAGTACAGCTGATGCATGGAAGCTTGTTAAGAGTTGATCGATATTTTAAGTGGCTTATTTTATGCACTGGTAGGCGTGCACTGTTGAAGACTGATGAGTCTATTAGCAAGCTGAGTTTTGTGTAATTGCTGTGTGGAAAATGAGCATATGATACAGCATGATGACTGGGGAGAGATTTCATTATTTTTTGTTTTCAGGATCACTATGCATTTCCATTATTAGTGCACAGAGCCTAAAATTCCACAATGTTGTTTAGTTTGTTTACACTTCAGAAGAGATTATACTATTTTAGTCAAATTTAAGTGGCTTTGTGTAATGAAAGTCTTATTGTTTATCATTGTGTAAAATTGCAGATCTACTACAATGCACAATCACAGGAATGCCCACAGTTTATTTCCTTTTTGTTGTTGTCCTTTCATTAAAACTACTGTGGTATAACTATGACACAGTACAGTGATGCATCAGATGGTAATATTGTGGTATTAATTTCTTAAAATTGGAAATTTTATTGTAAAGAAATGTTACCGGTATTGGCTTTATTGTTGTGTAGATTTGATCTGTACCGTTTGGTGTTTTCATCGTGAACTCTCTTGGCTCCACATGAACCGCAAGGGAAATCTTGTTTTGTTGAGTGTTGGTCCCTCATGTCTTTTAAAAGCACCTTGAAGACACTGAAAAATTGTGAGCAGTGCTTGCTTTAGAAAGGGTGACCAGGGTTATCTGCTAACAGTTTGGTCAGAAAGGAACAGTTTGATAGGTCTAAATGACTGTACATATTGAATCTCATTGGTGACCCACTGTTCTTCATTCAGAACACACATTGAGCTTCAGTGCTTACCTTCAATGGCAGATTTTGAAGATTGGAAGCAGCTGCTAAAACTAAATATTTAATTTTATATGAATATTAATACATTTTTGTGAAAAACACTCAGTTGTGAATGTGTGTAAAAGAAGATACATCAATTATTATTAGGGATATACTGATGTGGAAATTTGGGCCAATACAGTTAACTGATAATTATTTAAATTTAATTTCTTTTGTATGTTTGTTTATTTATTTGTTTTTTTATATATATTTGTGAAGCTGATTTTGAAATGGATGCTATATTCTATATGCAGGTTTTGTAAACTTTTCATCTTACATTGATTTGAACTGTGTAAGAGTCTCTGTGATTATCTTGTATAGTCTGGTATTGTCTCCACTGTCAATTTCTGCAGCTCCCAGAATGTTAATAAAACCTATCATTTATATTAGTATTACTATATTTATATACTACGTTTTGTTTTTATGATATTTTTCTCTACTGGTGTTTGTTACTTTAGACTTTCTTTGCACCATTTTCTTTGTAAGCAGCTGAGCTGCAAATTGTTTAGCAATATAAATGTACTATTATTTGTCATGCCAGTAAAGTACATTGAAACTGAAAACTGGGGGATTTTATGATGCAGAATTCTCTTGACATCTCAATACTGGCAGTGAAGTTATTGTGTTGTGTGTGTGTGTGTGTGTGTGTGTGTGTGTGTGTGTACAGAAAGCAGAATACTCTGCTGCTGTAACTGCTTGCTTTGTTTTCTCCTCTCACTCCATTATTCAGGCTTTTTCATCCTGCTTCTGTTTTGTGTCGCCTAAATCAACAGGTGGCTGAAGGGCCTGTTGGGAACCTTTACAGATCTTTAGATGCCCTAGATTTATTGGCTGAAGCGCCTCGCTCTTTCTCTCTGAAAATACACAAACTTTGTTCTACAACTACGTTTCCCACCAGCTACTTGCATTAAATTTGAAGATGGATGTATGGATTTGCATAATCTTCTTGTTATGTTCCTCATGTACTTTAGAATTGCAGAAAGTTCTCCCTACAATTAAACTTTGATCATGATTATAGGAGTATTTTAAACTAGAAAATACACTCTGCAGTTATAATGCCATGTTTATTACAATGTAAGGTCAGATGAACTCAATTTATTTCTAAATGTCAGGCGTAACATGGCATAATGAGATGTTTCAGATTGTAAATTTATACAAGGATGAACCAAACAATGTTGTGGTTTTGTCTGCCATGACATATTCAAGATATGTGTGCATGTACAGTAGATCACTTGAGTTAAACCGTTTTAAAGGGATAGTCCACCCAAAAATGAAAATTGTCATCATTTTCAGATCGCCAATCTTCTGTGGAACATAAAAGAAGATATTTTGAAGAATGTTGGTAACCAGTGCAATTCAAAACAGTGAAACTGTTTGGTTACCAACATAGTGCCACAAGGTTTGGAACGACATGAGAGTGAGTAGGTGACAGAATTTTCAGTTTTGGGTGAATTCTGCAGTAGTATTTATATAATTTTAGGGTTTATGCAAATAAAAGATAAAATGCATGTTTTGTAGATGTAAACATGATCATGTCCTCTCTCCTGCAGAGCGCACCATGGCCAGACACGAGGTGCGAGAGGTGGAGCAGAGACAGACACGGGACAGCCTGCGGGACTCTCCGGCATTGCCTGAGATTGAGGATCTGATTATCATCTATAACCGTGTGCCCAAGACTGCCAGCACCTCCTTCACCAACATTGCATATGACCTGTGCGGAAAGAACCGCTTCCATGTTCTCCACATCAACACCACCAAGAATAATCCGGTCATGTCTCTGCAGGACCAGGTAACATGTCCATTACATTACATTCAACTTACAATAAAAATGAGATTATTTAACATTTTAGGCCAATTATGTGCACAGAGTTCTTAAAGGGATAGTTCACCCAAAAATGAAAATTCTGTCATTAGTTACTCACCCTCATGTCGTTCCAAAACATGTAAGTTCTTCGTTCATCTTCAGAACACAAAAATGAAGATATTTTTTATAAAATCTGAGAGCTTTCCGACCCTCTATATACAGCAAGGGTCCTACCATGGTCAATACACAGAAAGGTAGTAAAGACATCGTTAGTCCATGTGACATCAGTGGTTTAACCGTAATTTTTTGAAGCTACGAGAATACTTTTTGTGCACAAAGAAAATTGTAACAACTTTATTAAAAAATAACGACAAAAAATAACAACTTTATTCAACAGTTCTTCTCTCCCGAGTTACCATCTTCCGCCATTATCGAGAGTACCATGATGCATGCTTGTGGTGCTGCTGATGTAGAACATGCATGCACTGTGCCTTGTTTATGAGCAGAGGAACGCACACACATGCGTCGTGGTCAAGCAGCAACCTTCCGGTCTCTCTCGAAACCAACACGGAAGTGATTTAAACTGCAATTCATCGATTGGCCGCTAGAGACTGGCTCTAAAAGGGAGTAAGTCCCATAGACTCCCCATGTCAAAATGCCCAACTTTACAGTAGAAAAATATATGTGACCCTGGATCACAAAATCTGTCTTAAGTCGCTGGGGTATATTTGTAGCAATAGCCAAAAATACATTGTATGGGTCAAAATTATCGATTTTTCTTTTATGCCAAAAATCATTAGGATATAAAGTAAAGATCATGTTCCATGAAGATATTTTGCAGATTTCCTACCGTAAATATATCAAAACTTCATTTTTGCTTAGTAATATGCATTGCTAAGAACTTCATTGCATTACTGCATTGCTAAGAAAATCGCCTTTAAAGGCGATTTTCTCAGTATTTAGATTTTTTTTTTTGCACCCTCAGATTCCATATTTTTAGAAAAAGCATATTTATTCAGCTTTCAGATGGTGTATAAATCTCAATTTCGAAAAGTTGACACTTAAGACTGGTTTTGTGGTCCAGGGTCACATATGTTTAAAAGCCTGGTGCAAAAAGTGGTTTTGGTCTATATAGCTCATTTTGCCCTTCATGACAACTGTGAGGGGGGTGAATTTTTTTTAAAACTCATCCGTTTAAATTATATTAAACTTTAATGTTCTGCATAATTAAGGGTGTGGTCACTTGAGTGACAGGTGGATTGCCGCTGCTGTTGCCACAGTCAAGCTAAGTGGGCGTGGTTTCAGCAACCAGCTCCACAAACATCCCGCCTCTTTGCCCATTTTCGATTATCCGGGAGTGACGCGCTGCCAAGATGGCGACGGCTGGCTCCACCCATTTTGAACTTCAAAAACGCTCTTCAGAAACCAACGGGTGACGCCACGGACACTACGTCCATGTTTTTTACAGTCTATGGTCGTGGTACTCTTGTTAATGGCACCTACGGTGATACGGAGGAATAAGGTCATTATTTTTGTATTCTTTGCACACAAAAAGTATTCTCGTAGCTTAATAACATTACAGTTGAACCACTGTCACATGGACCATTTTAACAATGTCCTTACTACCTTTCTGGGCCTTGACCATGGTAGGACCCTTGCTGTTTATGGAGGGTCAGAAAGCTCTCGGATCTTAATTTGTGTTCCGAAGATGAATGAAGGTATTACGGGTTTGGAACGACATGAGGGTGAGTAATTAATGACAGAATTTTCATTTTTGGGTGAACTATCCCTTTAAGCTTTGCAAGTCCACTCATATATGTGTCATCAAAAGAGATTAAGGTCATTTTCACACTAGTTCATTTGAGCACTCCAAATGGTCCAAGGGTCAATATACTGTAACTGTATGTGAACACCTCAGATGAACTCAGACCACCCTAAAAGGACCCAATGTCCTTTTGTGGTTCAGCTGAGTCCCTTTTTAAATCCATAACAAGTTTTTGTTCATTTAAAGTGTATTATATGTGAAACCACTTTAAATGTCATTGAAATTTTGCAGTTTATTTGCCACAATGGAAATAGATGCTTAGGGGTATTGCATTGTGGGATGCAATTATCTAATCAAAAGTACAGTCAAACTGTAATATTTTGAAATATTATTACAATTTAAAATAACTGTTGTCTATTTTAATATATTTAAAAGTAATTTAATCCTATGATTTCAAAGCTGAATTTTCAGCAGCCATTACTCTAGTCTTCAGTGTCACATGATCCTTCAGAAATCATTCTAATATGCTGATATGTGCTCAATAAACATGTATTATTAAAGTTGAAAATGGTTGTGCTGCCTATTTTCTGTGGAAACAGTGATGCATTTTCATCAACATTTTATGATGAATACAAAGTTCAAAAGAACATAATTTGAAATAAATAAATATATATGGAAAAAAAAAACCTAAATGTAGGTTTTGTAGGTTTAAATTCCATTAGTTATTTAATGACAATGAAGTTGAGTAATTTTGAATTAAAAAATGTAATATATTAATACATTTTAAGTATACTAATAGGTGATCAAAGTTTTAAAACATGCTTTTAAAAAATGCTTACACAAAATAATTAAGTAGCCAGATATTGTATATGAATATGCCAGCTATTGGGCACATTTTACAGACACACTCAACTTATGCAGTTCGGACCAAGTGCAGAGGTGTAGTGTGCTTATACTGATGACATTGTGATTGGTCTTTTGCTCAAATCTCACTCTGACAGTCTAACAAGCAGCCTCGTCTCTGGCTCCACCTCCATAATTCATAACCTACTGTCAATATCCACACTGCTGCTGTGCCTTTGTGTGACAAGCAGCACTGAACAAGCTGAACCGATAGATAAAAAGAAGAACGGGGGGAGAATGAAGCGCAGATCTTGTTGACAGCAGCAAAGAAAGACAATTCTCTATTCATCATATCTATTGTTATATGTCAGCTCACAGAAAGCAATCTTTGACGAGTTTTATTTGCAGAGTTGAAGGGGAAAAAGAAGCATTCCCGCATCATTTTGACCTCACACGTGTCAGCATTATTCAACACAGCGTGTGGCTTTGTCGGTCTGCGATCATGAGCGTATGTTTACATTTGTATTCACGTCATTGTCATCCGCAAAATAATATGCCTCGGAGCAGGGGGAGGGAAGGTGTTATTTGTGGGTGATTTTTGCCAAGGTAATATCCAGTCTAGCTTTCAACAAAGCCTTTCGACGGTGCAGATGGTACAACCTTTCCCTCCCAGCGGAGTACAGCTGTGGGACTATGGGGAGGATGTTTGGAGAAAACATTGCTGAAATGTGTTTGCATTAAGTAGTCACTTGGCTGGTTTGTTTAGCAGCCCGTGACAGATGCAGTGCGTCAGTGCGAGATTGTTATTTGAGATTTGGATATCGCTGATGCTTGAATGATGGGGGCATATCACACATGCAGTAAAATAAATTTAGAGGTTTATAAACTGTGTACAGGGACAAATCGAATGTGTTATCTTGTGCTTACAGATGAGGTTTGTAAGGAATGTGACATCCTGGCGAGAAATGAAACCAGGTTTCTACCACGGCCATGTCGCCTATCTGGACTTCACAAAGTGAGTTTTGCTTTATTAATATAAAACCATCATAACAATCACTGAAAGCAATTGCACTACACTTCACTGTATTTAAATGGTTATGTGTCCTTATCTAGTAGTACATTTAGTGTTGTCTGTTCCTGAAAAATGGGACATCCATCAGCCAGCTACTTAATTCACTGATGTGAGAAGATACATTTAAGTGCTGCACTCTAGTGGTTGAAACTGGAACATGTTTTTTATTTTTATTTATTTTTTCTCTGGATTTGAAGTCTGCTTTTATGTTTTGTATTGTTTTGGTTTGTTTTGTTTTGTCGGGTTTGTACGCTGCTTTTATTAAAGCAAAAGCAACACATAACATTGAAATTCTGAAATTTGTATTAAATTTTAAACACTTCACAGATTGTTGTGGTGATAATGTAATTGTAACAAAGAGAATGTGTAATACAAAATTGTATAAGAATGTAGAAAAAAATGCAAAAAAAAACCAAAACATTTTTACAGGTGTCTTCTGGAGTCGACTGCATATAATAATATAACTAGTGCTGTCAAATGATTAATATCGATTAATCGCATCCAATATAAAAGTTTTTGTTTACATAATGTATGTATGTGTACTGTGTTTGTTAATTATGTATATATAAATACACACACATACAGTATATATTCTGAAAATATTTACATGTATATACCTTTATATATTTTATATTCTATATAAATATATTTATTATTTAATATATAAACAACATATTTTTCTTAAATATATACATGCATGTGTTTGTATTTATATATACATAATAAATATACACAGTACACACTCATATTATGTAAACAAAAACTTTTATTTTGGATGTGATTTATCGTGATTAATCGTTTGACAGCACTAAATATAACATGATATAACAATATAATATAATATAATATAATTTTTCTAAATAGGTTTGGAGTCAAGGGAAAGCCGGTATACATCAACATTGTACGGGACCCCATCGAGAGGTTGGTGTCTTACTACTATTTTCTCCGATTTGGAGATGATTATCGGCCAGGTCTCAGACGGAGAAAGCAGGGGGACAAAAAGGTATTATCTTTTTAAACAATTAATTCAAAGTAACTATTAATTTGCTCACCGTGTGGATGCTAAGATGCAATATGTGCGACTGGTGTTTCAGACCTTTGATGAGTGCATGTCATCAGGAGGTTCTGATTGCGCTCCTGAGAAGCTTTGGTTACAGATCCCGTTCTTCTGTGGCCATTACTCGGAGTGCTGGTGGGTAACATGAGCAGCCTGTTACTCTGTTTTTCGCTAAATGCTCTTTCGCATTAGACAAATTGATTGATTCACTCTTTACTGATTTGTTCTCGAAACTATGTAGGAGCTGTAAATGATCTTGTGTGTCTGTTTGTGCAGGAATGTTGGCAGTAGGTGGGCTCTCGAACAGGCCAAGTATAATTTGGTGAATGAGTATCTGCTCGTGGGAGTGACTGAGGAGCTGGAGGATTTCATCATGATGCTTGAGGCAGCGCTGCCACGCTTCTTCAGAGGAGCGACTGAGCTCTACCGCACAGGTACTTTGTCGATATTTAAGAATAAAAGGAATAGTTCAACAAAAAAAATGACAATTCTGTTCTGTACTTGCCTTCATCATTCCAAACCCAAGCTTCTTTTTTTTTCTCTCCATGTAACACAAAAGCTTTGTATGAGAAACAGCCTCAAGGTCAAATTCATGGCACATTTATGACAGCCCTTGGAAGAAGTACCTTAACAATATGTGTTTTGTAGATTCTTAGTCAGTTCTTTTCAATTCATTGGTTGAAATGAAATCATTTGGAAAATTAATTTTTGAATATTTTGTTCATGAACCGGACTGATATAATTCAATAATTCAGTTGCAGCTACTGGATTTGGTCTGTTTGTCACACAAAGGTATTTTATAGGTTCAGAAGAAGTCATATGGGCTTCTTTTGTGATATACTTTACTTATGGTTCTTTTGCATCCTTTATGAAGCTTGAAAGCTCCAGTCCCTATTCATTGTAACTGCATGAAAAAGAATGACTAGAACATTATTAAAAACCACAATTCTCCTTTTGTGTTCAGTGGTAGAAAGATATGCATAAGGGCCCAATACTGTGAGTGTTGCTTCCTCCATGTTAGAATTGATTGTATTTAAGCAGTGGAAAATTCAGGATTTGATTTATTTTATTTTAAAATGTTATTTATTTCTTTGATGTCAAAGCTGAATTTTCAGCAGCCATTATTTTTTCTGCTGGCTGTTGTTAGTATATCGTGGCCATTTTTAGTCTTCAATGTCACATGATCTTTCAGAAATCATTGAAACATTATTAATTTGTAACATGATAAATTTCTAGTATTCATAATACACTTCTATTGTACTAGCAATGACAATCTTCCTGTTTTAGTCTGGAAATGAAAACAGAAATATGAAATTGCTGATTTTTTTTTTTTAAACATCAAATTGCAATTATGATTTTTGAACTCATATTTACCCAATTAAGTTAAAATTCAGTTTATTAGCTTTGGAAAAATCCCCTAATGTGTTTCAGTCTTAATCAGGTATTCAGCATTGAATAACCAGTGAAACCTCCTGCGTGACCTGCATTTTATTTTGTCTTTGACTTGAACTGCAGGCAAGAAGTCTCACCTGAGGAAAACGAGCGAGAAGAAACCTCCCACTAAAGAGTCCATCTCAAAGCTGCAGCAGTCCAATATATGGAAGATGGAGAATGAGTTCTACGAGTTTGCGCTGGAACAGTTTCAGTTTGTGCGCGCTCACAGCGTCAGGGAAAAAGACGGAGAGCTTTACCTGCTGGCTCAGAACTTCTTTTACGAGAAAATCTATCCAAAAGTAAACTAGAGTTGACATTAGCATGGTACAAGTGTCGTTTGGCCTGTTCATGTACTGTTCTGTCACATTCACTGGGAAGAGAAGAAAAGGACTTCTACAATGTGGACACAAATACCTGGAAGTCCTAGACTAGAGGGGCTGAAGGTTTTATAGTGTGTTTTTTTGAGATACTTCACACAGTCCTGACAGTGACGCTCGGTATCTAGCCACTTTGAGCCCAGTATCTTTTTATGGACTTTTACAGCAGTGAAAACACTTGTGACATCACCATCAAATTTTCACATAATTCATCATGCCTTGCAAAAGAAAATGACAGAACCTCTTTGGCCATCAGTCACTGTTGTAAAAAAAAAAAATCCATTTTGAACAGGGTCAAAAGGGTACTGCTTTTTGTACCAGACGTTTGGTACATTAGAGCACCTCCTTATTTTACTACTAACTGTGGTCTTGTGAATTCTTAACACTTTCTTGCATTGTGTATATTCATTTTTAATAGAATGACATGAACAGTGTTTACAGACTTTAGTAAAGGTATTGTAGCCAGAGTTTAGAATGTGGCCAAACAGATTTCATATCTGTACAAATTGTATTTACATGTTTCAGCAGTTGTTCAGATCATTTAAACCATGTCTGTGTATTAAAATGTTTTTAAAACTGCCAGCTTTCCTTTTATATTTGCGTCTTTTTTGTTTTGTTTGGTTTTTTTTTTGGTATAAATTGTCTCAAAGCATTTCAAATAAACTTTACTGTCTGTGAGACCATGTTTTTTTTTTCCAGTATGCTTAGTTTTTCTTCAAACCGGGCTTTGGGGATATGCTTAGAGGGTGTGTACATTTTGAGAGGAGAGTTTGATGTACATTTTTTACTTATTCATTTATCAGTGATCATATTAATTGATCATATATAGCACAAAAGCATATAGTATTATGCTCACCAAGGCTGCATTTGTTTGTTCATAAACACACAGATCAGTAATATTATGACACGTCTTTACTGTTACTTGTGATCAACTTAATGCATCCCTCTTGAACAAACGTATAGATTTCTTTTAAAAAAAAACAACAACAACTGATCTTACTGATCTCAAACTGTTACTACACAGTTTTTATTCATCTTCCATTATCAAGCCCCATTAAACAAGGGGAGGCTGTCATGGTGACTAGGAAAAATGCAATCTAATTCTGAAGTGGTACGGAGTAAAAGTGGGACGAGAGAGAGAGTTCAGTGTGATCAGTGGAAAACAAAACATCTGTGTTCATCTCCACGGACAGACAGACAGTAGCCAAAACCAGACACGTCACATGACCAGGAGAGAACGTCTGCTTCACAAAAGAGGACTCGATTAACTTTTTCTTTTTTTTTAGCTGCAGGCATAACAAAGCATTGTTTCATTAGGCAGATGCATACAAGCTGATAATTATTCCTCAATTAAAAAGAGCCTGTACCATGTATTGATTTGCAAGGGAGAAGGTTAATTAGGAGCACTGAAGTTCTCTGTGTTCTGTTGATGTAGCGTTGCTATCATTTGTTTGTTTCCATGTCAGCGAGTATCCTAGTATGAAACATGATTTTATCTGAGAGTTATTGATTGTTTAGAATACTTTTAAGTTTAACGACAGTATCTCTTGAAGGATCACTGAGGGGTAAATTATCATGCACAGGAGATATAATAGTCTGGGTGCTTAAAATTATTGCATGTTTTTAAACGTGACCAGCTGGGTCTTTCTAAGTATTTAAATGGCCTTTGTGTCTCCTACATAAAAATAAATTAATAAATAATCTTATTAATGTAAAATCAATAACTTTAATAGTACTATTTACAGTAAATCTTATTCCTTCTTCATGAAGATGCTTCCTTCGGCCTGTTCCCAGTCAGTTTTATCTAACTTGCCTTTGCTGTGTTAGCAAATACAACTTAAAAATATATAAAGGAAGATAAAATATTAGATTTATTTCCGTGTGTGTGTGTGTGTGTGTGTATTATAGGCTATTGCAAACTTTACTTTGATAGTCCACTTTAGACATTCTACTAACTATTTATGCAAAGTTACTTATAACTTCAGTAGAATGTCTAAATTGGACTATCGAAATAAAGTGTAACATATATTACATTATTATATTATATTATATTATTATTATATTATAATTTTGTCCTTGTTTTTATATTGTTCTAGGTTTTGACAAACACTTTGGTCTTGTGTGTTGAGATTATGCATCAACCCTGATACCATTCTGCTTAATTTATTTTTAATTAAGAATGACAGACTGTGCGGCTTTAAGACATAGATGTAGCTACAATATATGACATACCCACAAGTTACTATGTTGTGGCCACGACAAAACTAAGTGAACAGAACATGTCCTGTCCCAGGCACCGTACTTTGTCATAACAACATTATCATGATATTTCAAAAAGCAAATTCTTCAAGGGAAAATAATTAAGCACTATCAACCTTTCCTAAGGTATAATTACAGCCAAAACTATATTAAAATATATCAATTAAAATATATATTAACACTTCAATTAAACAATTCAATTGTTTCAAAGAATGTATTACCAATATGAAACTGGAAAAGACATCCATTATATATAATGATCCAGATATGTGTGATACTGGCATTTAAATAAACTTTAAGCCCTGAAAATATACTGTCATATCTAAATGAATTATAAAGGAATTTTGTTTTTATTTATTTATTGCTTTCTTTTTTGCTTGCTGTCACTTTTGATCTAATATAGGCTATACTGTCTTGTATTAAATGCAGAATATGCTTAATTCTTTCTTCTTCCACCAGAGGGAGTATTGTGTTCACTGATCCGTCCTTCTCCTCCAATCAGCTCAGCTGGAACTGTTCAACAAGCCCCATTAATGCACCTGTACTGAGCCAAATGGACCAAACGAATGGGGCATTACCATTAAGAATACAGATTGCTCTATTAGAGCTACACTGGCTTTCAGCTTAGGTGGTAGCTATAAATAAAGCTCTTTACTTTAGACCCAGCAATTTGTGCCCCTCTCTCTCTGTTCTCTTGCATAAATGACACACTAAGGTTTAAGTCACTGTGTGCAAATGGTGGGCTGGTGATGCAGCCGTTCCAGAGAATAAGTTTAGCGTTTCTGGGAAGACTTTTTTGTCACGATGTCTTCAAGAAGCTTTTAGCAAAATGAGCGATTTACAGGTCTAAATAGCTATAAATAAAGCTCTTTACTTTAGACCCAGCAATTTGTGCCCCTCTCTCTCTGTTCTCTTGCATAAATGACACACTAAGGTTTAAGTCACTGTGTGCAAATGGTGGGCTGGTGATGCAGCCGTTCCAGAGAATAAGTTTAGCGTTTCTGGGAAGACTTTTTTGTCATGATGTCTTCAAGAAGCTTTTAGCAAAATTAGCGATTTACAGGTCTAAATACACTAACTGGTGTATTTAACTTCCCTATTTGTAAAATTACAGGGAGATGAGTGTGACATGATTGGCTGTATTTTTAATAATAGGAAGAACGAGTCTGCTCTCTTTATATTTGAAGGAAATGATTCAGGCCTACTTAAGGTCAAACAGTAAAGCTCACCACCATTAGACGAGTACTGTGAGTCTCTGTGCTGAAATAACCTCTAAATCAGAGTCAAAATAATGACCTCATTCAACTAATGAAGGCTAGCTGGGTTTGACAACCATAACCCTCTGGACTTCTGACAAAATGGCTGTTTTTTTTGTTGTTGTTTCTGGGTAGATCAGAGGAGTTCGCTGAGCTGTGGAGTAAAACTGGCCGCGGTGTTTTGAAATTGGTGCTCCATAAAACAAACAGAGCAGAAAGGAGGAGAGACACTGGCCCCCTACTCTCCAGGACAGAAGGCAGGACCTCTGAGCACTTGGCTAAAGGGATTTATTATGCTTGCTATGAAAATGCCTTCATCTGATGGAAACATGGTGATCTAAATTGGAAGGTGGGGGGATAAAAAGTTAAAAGTCAACGGAGAACCAAGGAAACTAGCACATTATTTCCGATCTTGGGCCATTTAGGCTTCCTTGACTATGCAAGCTAAAAATAGTATTTAAGGGAGTTGTTCACATGATGTGGAAAGATAATTCGGAAAAGCTAAACATGTAGGATGTGGTTTGAATTTACTATTCGAGGCGAATGACACAGGTACTGGAAAAATCTGATTGCTCACTATAGGAAAGAAATTGAAGTATACCGCATAGCGACATTTCAATATAAACATCATGATGGGCAATTTTGATGTATGTGATTAAGGCTTTGGTCTTACCAATTTGTTTTTATCCAATTGCTTTTTAGATTTTAGGTCGATTCTACTAATACATGGAAATAGCACTCATAAAGTCCTTCAGAAAAATTGTCCATAACCATCTCCTTCCATTAGCCTCCTGCAGAAACAGCCTGAAGTCTGACGCTGGATGTGACCTTTGACTCCTAATTAGATTGGTACCTGTATATTATGGCTGTATGACATTGGAAAAGATTCTTTCTCTGTGCCCCGCTTTCTCTTTAATGCAGAATTCAGGGAGGTAAAGGACCTAGCAGGCAAAGAGAGAGATGCAATCAGCAATTCAATCGTGCCTATTGTTCAGGTTTACTGATGAGCTTTGCAGTGCAGATAATGGAGTAAATTATTTACCTCTCTGCTCTCTCTTCTTATTGTAGTCAGTGCTGTCAGTATACCTCTGCAGAGCTGTATGGTCACAGGTTGAAGGCCTGCATCAGATCTTGCTCAACTGTCAGCATGTTTCAAATGGTATTTGGCTTTTTCTTTTTGTCTTCTTATCTCCTTTTCTGTTCTTAAGGGTCATTCTACAAAATAGATGTCATTTGGATCCCTCATAGGCCTATACGTGTTTAACAATTAATAGCTGATGCTGACTTTACACTTGTTTAATAGACATTAAAAACTACTGTACGAGCTGCACATTTTGATTTATATATACACTTCATTATTAAAAAGACTTGAATCCAGATTATGTCAAACCTGTTTCCACCAAGTATTAGCCTACTGGTCTGCTCATGTTCAAAATCCTTCAAAAATGGAGTTTAAAAATCAACATTTTAAAAGAAAGTACCTATTTCATAGAGGGGTTTTCATTCGGGGTGTAGTATAGACTTTTGTCCACCCCGTTCAGGTGCCATTCAAACGGAACATGTTTTTGCAGTTAAAGGGCATGGAAGATAGGCTACACACATTTATTTGTAAAATTGAATTGAAGACTTCAGACGCAAAAGCTCATTTTAAAAATCATTTTAGAAGAACATTTCAAATGGCACTTTTGCATCTACACACAGGAGCCTGATAAAAATGCTCGTTTTAGTAAAATGATCATTTGTATCATGTAGGTTCAGTAATTTCACTTTAATGGCAATGAATAGGTTCTTTTCATTGCCATTAAAGTGAATTAACTGAACATAAACATAGGAGCCTGAGAAAAATGCTCATTTTAGAAGAAAATTTCAATCGGCACTTAGAGGCTTTTGCATCTGAACTCCTTAATCTCTTTGAACTTAAGCGTCGCGTTTTTCGAACGCAGTGTCATGCGCGAGGAACTGACAAAGACTCGAAAGGCGAATGCTAAAGTCAAACATG